GGGATGGTGCCCAGGGACCCCCCAGCACCCACCTGCAGGCGCTGCTGCCATGGCCCTGGGGGAGGCACCAGCGCTGACGCGATGGATGGTGGCATCGTGCACAAGATTGCTCCCTGCTGTTTGCTGCTCCTGTTTCATTTTTCCTCTCTCTCTCTTTTTTAATTATTATTTTTACTCTCTACAGTTAGTGAAAACAAGGACATCGAAGATAAGTGAATTGTCCAGTTACGTCAGGTGAGGTTCTTGCTTGGGTTTGCTCTCTCATGCTCAGGCAGTGTGAATGAGGTTCCTTATCACATTGCCCACCCATAGGGTTTTTAAGTGCATCTGGACATTCCCAGTAAACCAAAAAACAGACCCTGCATCAGCTCAAAACAGGTTGGAAGGAATATCAGCTGCTGGGCTTCTAGGCTTAAAGGAGCTTGTGGTATTGGGAACAATGAGGGATTCTCCTTCTGCTGATCTGGGTTATTCCCTAACAGCTTCCTGGCAGGATCTCCTGCATCTTCCCAAGCACTGAGGTTGAGCACAGCCGGCTTTGGGCCGCAGGCTCCTGGCAATCAGCTGCTGGCTCTAGTAAACCTCAAACTCGAAGCAAAATCCTCACATGGCAGAAAGATGATGCGAGTGCTTTGAAGTCAGCGGGGAGCTCGGGGCAAGGCTGATCCGCGCGGCTGGGAGCGGAGCCCTGCGCTTCCTGCGGCCCCTGCCGCGGGGACGAATCCGTGACACTCACTGTGCATCTGCTTCCACTTCAGATCCATCCATCCCTTTGAAATCCCGGAGGTCATCAGCCTGCCTATTGACCAGGGAAACCCGCTCTACTTCAAGTGGCTAGAAGAAAGCATGGCAGGAGACTGAGACGTGCAGAACCACGTTGCTTTTGGGGAGGCCCCGCGAGGCCTGCGGCGCTGCGCCCGTCCCTTCCCCGTGCAGGCAGAACACACACACCAGGAGGCAGCCTCCAGCTTCCCAGCTTTGTGGCGGCACGGACATTTGGGACCGGGAATTCCGGTTGTCCTTGAAGCCTCCCCTCCTCTGCAGGGAGCGCAGAGGGCTGACGCTCCCCGGAGCTTGTCCAGCGTCACGGGGAGCGCGGGGTGCCCGAGCGGAGCCCTCGGGCTGGGGACACCCCGGCGCACCGGAGCGCTGCTTCCAAGTGAGCCCTGCAAAACGATGCCCACGTTGTCGCTTAGCGGTGTAACTTGTGAAATGACCTCGAGTTATTTATGTGATGGGGAAGCCAATAAACGGGAGCTTTTCTTACCTCGAGTTGTCACAGCCATTGCGGGCGCGCACACGTTGCAGCGAGAGCCTCAGCACTGCTGCCCCAACCTGCAGAGAAAGGGGCTTGGGGGCAAATCTGGGGGGGAGAAGGGCAGGATCCTGTGTCTCTACCAGCAACATTGCTCCCAAAGGGCAGCAAAATCGTTAGTGCTAAACGGGGACCAGCAGGACCCCGGCTGGGAGCAGCGAGCACACGAAGCCGCAGGCCAGGGCTGCATCACACCGAAACGCAGCTTTATTTATCCCCTGCCGGTGCTGCCTTGTGCCACGTGGAAGTTTCAAATTAGATGGGTGGGGAACAAGAGGGGTTTTTTTTTCAGTGTGGTTGTTCTCCATTTAGCGCTGACTAAAATAGAACATTGAGGGCATAAGGACACGGTCGCTTTTCTGGAAAAGGCAGCAGCCTCCGCATGTGGGAACCGCCACGGAGCAGCCGGGAGAACAGGCCTGGCCCTGGAGAGACCCAGTCCCACAGGGACTCAGCAAGAGAGCCCTCGACACAGCCCTGAGCACCAGCTTGGAGCAGAGGCTGCAGGGTCCCCACGTGGGACCGCACGGACCGGGGTCCCTTCTCGTGGCCACGTTGCCCCGGGCAAGGAGCGACCCCGCAGTGGCCACCGCTCGCACCGCCACCGCCGCCAGCTGGAAATAGAGCCAATTCCGCCCCCGGCGGAGCCCCGCGCTCACACTCAGCACTACACATATACCTGGGTGCTATAAAGAGCTGGTGCTGTTAAAAAAAAGACTTTTTAATTGTACGTCAGACATACTAATTACAACTTGGATATACCAAAAGTCGGTTATTACAAGCAGCAACTTGAAATCATCTTTAGAAGGTGCACAGGATCATTATAATATCTTATCAGGAGTAATGCAAAATATATTCTGGAACAAAAATATTTTTCAGGGCTGCACATGCAGCTCCGGGGGGAGCGCGGGGCCGCGAGCTGCTCTGCAGGGCTGGGGACGGTCCCCTTGGCCCTCCGACGGGAGGGAGGGCTCCATGGGCACTGGGAAAGGGTGAGACTTGAAGGGCCCCTTCGGAGACAAAGCAGAAGGACACAAAAGATCCTTGTAACCGTCCTGCTCCGAGCGCTCGGAACGTCCCGGCAGCGGCTTCAGCCACCCTGGGGAAGGACCCCAGAATGGAGAATGGGGAACCCCCAGTGCAGCAAGGCCACTCGGCACGGGAAACATGAAAGCAGAATTAACACCCGTCCCGGCGGCTGCCCCACGGTGCCTCATCCCTGCGTTATCCCTCCCTGCCCCGTTCCAGTGCTCTGCTCTACTGCAGAGCAAAAGAGTCAATTCTTTTTTCCAACAAAACACATTTTCCAAGCTGTCCCCAGCTGCCAGAAAGCAGGTCCATGAAACCCTATGGAGACAACGGGCGGGAGGAGGCAGGAGAGCGGCCCCGCACGGGGCTTCCCTTGGCAGCCCCATCCCACGGGCAGCGCCCGGGCACAGACGAGGAGGACAATATTAAATATATATATATATCTTAAAAGAAAATAATCTAACATGTGTGATGCTATTAGAGTTTGCAAACAGTCTTGGCTTGTTAAGACAAGGCCTTGTGCTTCACCCTGCCTTGCACCCGGGCACGAGGTCCATTGGCACCGGAGCCGCGGGGGGCGGCGCCGCCCGG